ACGCTGACCATGTAGAGAAATTATGTTGCTGACTATACTGTCCAAAAGAAGATGTAGATGGAACCAGTATTTGTCAAGCTACTCTCCCTTTAATATAACTTTCGATAGTATAGTGAATGAAGAAAAAACACACAGATGCATGCAGGTGGTATGACGTGAACTTCTGTCATCCAATTAATTGGGATAACAATCACATGACTAATTACCACCAGATGTACAATCGGCTTCGCAGTTGATGATGTCATATTCTCAAAAGTGTGAAATATCTATCTAAATATAAAACCAGCAACAATTGTCATTGATTGAATCACAGTTATCATCATTGTTACCTTTTTAAAAACAATTCCAAATCGTGAGAAATGCAATCCTGGCATAGTACGTAATCATGGCTCAAATTACACGTGAAATGAATAATCAATATTTTACCCAGAACAGATCAATAATTGTTCTAAATATATGAAAAAAAGTGTGAAAAGTGAGAGAAGTACCTTGTCCATGTCGCATAATTTCCACTTGTTAGCAAAGTGCTTTGTTTTCACAGGTTGAAAGGTTGTTGCATTTTTTTATTGATTTTCCTCTGTTTTTATTGTAATTCTGCACTCTATGGGTAAGCTCTTGTGAAAGAAAGTCCCATTTCTGTAGACAAGTGTCTACTTCACCATTTATTGAAAGGAAGACCAAGAAATGGTTCGAAAAAGAGGAAGAAAATCAATCACACTCTTTCCTCTAGCAAGCCATAAATGTCGCCCCCCTCAACTTTTGATGGCACAGGAGTACATCGTTAATTTCCAAAGAGACTACACTTTAATGCTTGGAAATATCGCTTTAAACATTTTGTTATGAAATCAAACTAAAGTACATGCCTTTAAAACCAAGTCATATTATTTCTTTAATACAAAAAATATCCTTAAAAAGGCAGATATCATTGCTTCCATGCACAATACCATAAACAATACGCATGTGCAATATACAAGTATACAATACCCTTTTATTTCTGTATTGCTTTTAAAGGTATAGACCAGTTTTGGAAGCACCCTCCTCTCAAAAAATGAAATGGAAGCTCTTATTACCAATCATGTGAAAGAATACGTTTTGACTAATACGCGCGATGATACAAATTTTGCCGGGAAACCGCCTTCTAATTGATATATTTGGTAAATTATTATATCTATCCGGATCGGATAGATATCGCGCACGTGCCGCGTCGTCCCATATACATCTTTCTGTGTACAGTGCTTGTAACTTTACCAAGACTGGGCCAAATTTCTTATCATTTTGATGATTCCAGAACCTTTCAGTACACACCAATACTTATATGCTAGATGATCAACCTTTTCTGATCGATTCCACAACTTTTCTTTCACAATGCAATCGCATGACCAGAACTGGTCTTTACCAATGAAAATCAAACCATTGACTGTTCATTCCTGATTTCAAACAATCAATCAATGAAAACTGCTATAAGATTTGTACATCATGTTTTTGATATATCTTTTGTAAAAGACATATTTTTAAACATATCACCAATATGATTTTTCATCAGTTTAAACTTAACTGTTTTCTGGCTGAGTTATTTAAAAAAAAGTAGTACACTTCATTATATCCTACAAATGTGTAGATGTATGAAGTGAGTAGTTTAATCTGGTGGCTAAAATTGCTCTTCAAGCATTTTCCTCTGTAGGAAGATATGAATACAGTATTTTACAAAGCAATAATCAAATGTATTGGGAAGAAGAAGAAAAAAAAACCAGTGTATGCAATATTTATTGCTCAATGGTTATGGATAAATTCAATTGAACATTCATACCAGACAGTCATACAATGTGATTATTAATGACGTGTGTTGAATACACAATAGGCAACCTGAACAAGAGTAATTAGATAATGTACATGTAAGGGGAATGTTTTTATGAACTTCAAGGAGCAATTCATAGAAAATGCATGAAAACATACAATGTGATTATTAATGACTTGTATGGAATACACAATAGTCAACCTGAAAAGGCGTAATTGGATAATGTAAAGGTAATATGAAAACCACCACCATTAGGTTTTTGGCATTAACATGACAAAACAAAAATGCCATTCTTCCTTCTTTTTAATGAATATTAAATTTCTGATAGATGGAGCAATTGTGGTATTGGTTTGTCATTGCGGACTAGCTAGTCTATGATACAAGTAGGTTTTTAATGTGTACATGGCCAAAGAAACAAACAATTAGAATTTATTATTTTTTCTTTAGAATTAAGTTTTACCTTCATTGGTGTATGGAAAGGTTAGCAAAAAGACCCCAATTTCTATTACGTTTATGCCTCGTACCAATACTTTTGTATTTAATATTTCTTTTAAAGAACTAATTTTTAAAAATTGTTCACATATACGTGATGGAAAATATGTACTAAATACAATGAAATTTACACGGATTGTATATTATGAGCCTTGCGTGACATATGCGTATGCAACACTCATACCTCCATCTCTTTTATTAGAAATGTGAGAGAATAATTAAATAAATAATAACTAATAATTAATCACTTGCAAGCCCTCCAGTACCCTAACCCCTAGCCCCTCCTCATCACCAACCCAGTACCTGCCCCCCCCCCTTTAGCCAGAGGTTTGTTTTAAATGGGGTATATACCGGGGGATGGGGGGGGGGGAGTATCTAGGGTAAGTAGATTAACCAGCTGTACCCATCGGATCATAAACCAGGCTCCATTGCTGATCTTGACCTATTCCGTCCCAGACAAAATCAATGCTACGTTGTATCCTTTTTATTGGGAACAAATTGGCAACATGGATGATATGCTTTGTCTGTATACGGATGTGCGGAATACATTAATTTGCATTGTGTAATTAAATAATTGTTTAATCATGATTCCTTAGTGAAATGTTACAGACAATCAAAATATTCACAGGGATGGAGATAATATTAATTTAGATAATGAAGCCACATTTCTTAACTTTCGATGATATGTTGATACTTTCTAGTTGTTTAGACAAGAAATACATACAGTGAGCATTTTTCTTACCAATCAGACAAAAATTGTGTTCATGCCCTTTTGGCACGTAGAGCATTTGCACTATTGCAAAATCAATAGAACTCTCAAGAAGGGATCATTCATTAACCCCAGCCTACCGGAACCTGGTTGCCCCTGTATTAAGCCTACAGGGTAACTTAGTATTCATTGGTTGGATGCATGGCGGTTTTTGTGGTGTGCTTGCGCAATAACTGAATAGTCGGGAGCAAGGGAGATGTTTTCATCTAAGGTAGATGTGTTTGCTGTTTGAATGACATCACACGGATGTATAAACACTGCATGGAGAGGGCTGCTTCACAGAAATGTGTCAGTCAACTCATGTTACCAGTGTGTAGACATATCGATGAGCACCACATGGCGGAAGTGTCTACCGTCTGTGTGTGTGTGTGGGAGTCCGTGGTGTGGTATGGCTGTGTGTTAAGGCCTTGGACTAGTTTGATAGCACAAACCCTCGTCAGTCGCTGTACCTAACAGTGTCTGCATTTTGAGACTAAGCTGACTGCAGACTGCATAGGCTCTGTACTTTAGTACTTGTGTGACACCACCAGAGACTGACAGAGCTATAGGCTCTGTTCAAGGCTTTAGGAATTGGGGTAAAATGTCAAACTCGGGTCTGCGCCTGGAGACTAGTCTTGGACTTGGTGTTCTTCAGTGCAGGGAGACTCCAACTATAAAATCAATGAATAATGAAATTAGAAAAGCGAGTCCCGTGACATCACTTCCGCTGCTGCATGCACAGTGCCTTGCCAAACAAGTTCTAGGTAGAGGCTTATTTGCAGAGCTGGGACGTCACATGGGAGCATGAAATGCAATTGTTTCTTGTGTTACATCCCATCACGTGGTAGTTGAATCATGGATTAATTTTAGACTGTATAGTATGTGGTTGATGACATGTGTTTCCCCATAATCCAATCACACGTCTTGTGGAGGAGGCTTTATTACGTCAAAGAATCGCTCTTCCGTCAGTAATGAATAAATATGTGTGAGAATGTGATGCAATCCAAGGACTTCAAGTGTAAAAAGTGATTGTGAGATAGAAATTGTTTCATTATACATGCAGGTTACTTTTAACTTTTTAAGCTGGAAACTTTACACTACATGTCAACGCTTGAGTACATTATTTCATTGCATTGCTCAGCGTTTGTAATCAAAAGAATTTCTGATACGCTGAAACTTTTGTCATTCCTTGTTCAAAAGTGCTGAATCATAAATAACACTTTAAAGGCACTGATTCTGAATTTGTTGTAAGAAATTGATAAAGTAGGAGATTGGGACCCCATTCTAGATAAGTAACAGGAACAAATATCCTAAGTATGCACATTTTAGTAGGAATACTATTAAAACCAATGGCTTTCAGTTTCTACTATTTCAAGACTTCAGACCCTTATCAAGCATTTGCTACATGGAAGCTTAGTTGAAGAAACGGCAGTGTTAATTGTAATAGCGTTTCCAGAACTCAATCCTCTGTTCATTCCCTTATTAAAAAAAGTATCATTCCAGTTAATGAAAAATGCAAATTAGTCATCTTTCAACCTGGACTTTCATTGATTTCTCTATTGACAGAGGAAACCATCTGAAGTGTTTGTTTACATACCAGTAGCTTTCAAGTATGTCATTATTATGACAGCAGCGCAGGTTGTTTGTTGGGATATGACTTGCCGTGCCGCAATCCCTCCCTAATACGTCATGTCATAAGAACAAAAAGTGTTTGTTTTTTCTTCATGTTTCCTAGTTGCACCTTGGACCTTGCTTTGTAATCATTTTGATATGAGATATATAGGACGTTGCCCCTGTTTTTATATTTCTTGGACGTCCTTATAGTATTTGCAGGGAGCTTGACTGTGTTTTGTTTATTGACTTTAGCGGCGGTTGAGATGATAGTTTGCTGTGCATCCGTGTCGCTTTGTATGAAATAATATCCTCCAAACACTTATCTCACATTCTGTTTGTCTATTTCATATCTTGCAGATGCAGTAACATATAAAAGGTGAAACAGTTCTTCGAGACATCAGACTGAAGAAGAAGAAGAAGAAAAATCCAAGCCAAATCAATATTGCAAAAAAAACCTCCCGGTGCGTTGATCAACTCTTGAGGAGAACAACTGCAATTTGGGGGTGAAATTGGGTCATGTGCTGCGTTCAACATTATGGAATCACTTGCTTGACTCCCCCAGCTCTCATGTTTGGCACATGGGCTGCCGCGTGAATTTGATTTTGCAGCAGGAAAGAAAACCAGTGGACGTTTGATAAACTGCAATTAGCTTTTGTGATTGGGGGAGTTCACATCTACCGCGGATAATCACATTGGGAGCTTCTGACCACAAGGATATTAAGGAGACTGCGTATTCGGGTGGCAGCGGTGGGCTTTGTGAACGGCTCCAGGAGGATTTGGTCATCAGTCATCAACAATCAGGTAAGACAACTATTGAAATTGGTGTCTGTTCTTCAATTTGCTCTTTTTTCTCTCCCTTTTCCATGGCATGTGTGATAAATGTCACTCCAGTCTTTGTTACACTACTAGTTAAGCTGGTGATAGTTACGCTGGTAATAGTTACATTTTCTATGTCAGGTAGCTTATGCCCATTTAAGAATAAAATTAGCAACTAATAATCAAATTTGTCTCATGGAAAGTGATTTTCCAATGTGATACAAAAACAGTTCGAATGCATGCCAATCTGCTTCTCCTTTCTATTAATGTTCATACTAAACAGACATTTCAATGCCATTCAGTTTTCTTTAGACATGTACCATGTTTGTTACAAATATATCACTGAATTCTAGATGCTTCAACTTTGATCATGTTTGAAGCAATAAACTTTAATTTGATGATTGTTTTACAAATTTGTCTTCATTAACTTCAGTCAGTTGCATTCTTCATCACTTGCAGTTGAGATGCAAGTCGTCTGCTCATGATAAAACTTCTCCCAAAACCTTCTTCAAGATACACAATTGCTATTGCCTCATAGATTGCATTGGTATACACTTCAGCTCATGTTCCTCTCTACAGTTTCCCTCTGTACCGTTTCCCCTTTTCCTTATCTGGACCTTGGCGACCTTGTGATTGCATGCTAGTTTTCAGCCATGGCTGTACAAATATGACGCCGATGCCCGCCATCGATTTCTTGTCCCCAGTTGCGTCTAAGTGTCCATCCCCTGAGTGGTCTGGCCCCACGTAGATAGATCCACTCTAGTTTATTGAAGGCAACTCCAGAGAGAGAAAGCAAGGAGATTGAGTTTCTCCTTAATAGATGTTAAGAGACCCTGACCATCAGTCCAATTGGCTCACAAACGTGAAGACACTGAAGAAAATTATGTAAAATGTTTAATTGGTGAGGTTTTAAAAAAAGATTACTTTACTTTTGGACCAAATCAGTTCTGAAGCTGTACTCCAACTTTGAACTTTTCTTGCCATGAGATCAGTTCTGACCCCCTCCATCCCCCTCCTCTCTCCATCTCTCTCTCCATCTCTCTCTCTCTCTCTCCCTCTCTCTCTCTCCCTCTCTCTCTCTTTATCTCTATCTGTCTCCCTCTGTCTCTCCCTCTCTCTCTCTCTCTCTCTCTCCCCCTCTCTCTCTCTCTCCCTCTCTCTCCCTCTCCCTCTCTCTTTTCCCTCTTTATCATATCTTTTCCTCAGTGGACGATCAGGTCTGGAGGGGGCATTTGAAAATTTAGGGTAGAATTGACAGGTAATCAATGAATTGCATGAGGTATGAAGTATAGCACCAGAAATTGATCAAGTGGAATCTGTTGACTTTTTTATTTTTTGGGGTCCTTTCAGCATGCCCCAACCTCTTTTGTTTTTTTCTGCGCCGTCCTCGATCTACCTCTATTGATTCGTTCTAAAAAGCTGTTCAAATATTGTTCTTTCCATATCATACACATTTTGATTTCTGGATTTGTAGAGCAGGCCTGACGTTCCCTAACCCTCAACTCGATTCTTTCACTGTCAGTCAAACTCGGCACCCACTCGCCGCCGACCATCAAATTCAATCAATTGCCCTCGATCACAGCTGCACCCCGCCCTCAAACTAGTTCATTCTATCAGCTAGAAAAAACATTGGTCCCTCTTGGAGCATGGTGGAGGGGGGGGGGGGGGGGGGTCAGTACCAGGTTTAGATTCCAGTCATTTGTGATATCAGATAGCTCTCCAAACAAATATCTCGAGAGAGCACACATGCTCAGTAATTGTTCTGTATGCTTAACTTCTTTTGGATCTGATGGGTATGAATAAATACAATTTCTTTTCGTTTTTGTATTTTGAAGGTACTCTAGAATGTAGATATATTTTCAGGTTATGAATGTATAGGAATCAAGCCATACATATTTTATTTATTCATAAATGTAGTGGATGAGAGCAAATTTCATTCACAATTTTTGTGAAAAATCTGGGTAATATCTGTCAACTATAAATAATCTCTTCTTTTATTTAAAAGAATCCATCAATATTATGTAAACAAAGTCATTGGATGTATTAAGCATCAACTCTTTTTTTCATTTGATGAGGCTTATTCCAGCCCCACCTCCTCGAATTTTGGCAATAAAGAAAAGGATTGAAAAGGGAGGATGGTATTAAAGGAAGTGAACTTAGTGTTAATGGAGATTTTGTGCTGACTTCAGTATGAACCCTCCCTGTAGATGATTTTACTTGTCTATGTTAAATCTGGGGACATTAATATTGTTCTCTGCTATATTTTGTCAAAGATATAAGTTTAGGGTCAGGGTTGCAATTGGTTTTAAGGTTGGTTTTAGGGGTACGATTAGGTTAGGTGTATTGTTTGGGTAAGGGTGAAATCAAGTCTATAGCAATTGTACCTCGCCAAAGCGTTTTTGGTACACCCAACTCCGCATGGGATGAAGTCATCTCTAACGTGTGATCTAAAGGGTCTGACCCAGGTTTGACCCAGAAGATCACATATTCAATGTGAATGCAGCACTGGTCACCCATTTCAAGCAGCACATATTAAGAATCATCCTTCTAATGGCGAGAATGTCAAAATACTTTGAGATATACTCTCCATTTTCAAAAGTAGGTTGGGCTCTGATCGTTAACTGTCCATTTTTAAACTTAGGGAGCTAATGGCACAGTTAACGTAGATCGGTTCGGTTCGGTCATGTGTCTGGGTCTGTGGATTTAGTATTGAAATCCATTCCAATTTACAAGCTGAAATGGTTTGCCCTTTTGCTTTACTAGAGGTGAACAAATTTACACAGCTGTAGGGGCTTTGACTGTTTAAAACACTAGGTGAAGCATTGTTGGATGGATATTATGGAATGGCTCATACAGTTCTTTGGGGAATTTTTGTGGCTCAGGGCTCTAAAACTTGTTATCAATAATAGATGCTAGAATTCTTTGACAAATTTGCTCTTAGCCACTCAAATGCCGAGATTTCAGTAGTCTATAACAATTATTGTTGATACAGAGTTGTGTGTAAACAGAGCCCTTGTTCAAATCTAGGTCAGTGTGTGAGTGTCTCAATGTAAAACATAAAACCCCAATTACTAGTCCCTTGGATAGGAATTAATATTGTAGGTTCAATGATGTAATTAATTAATAGTATAGACTTGTTTTCTTAGCATTTAAAAATGAAGATGAAAATAGATCTAAGGATTCTTGCTGTACATCATGTATATCATTCACCTTTTTGCTTGCTGTTGAATTGTTTGCTCACTATAAATGGTGAAATAATCTTTATTGTACTGATCACCGAAAAATGGTTTGCTCTTGACGTAAGAGGTTCCATGTTGCAACTCGGTAGTCATACTATGAGCTCCGAATATTTCTTCTATGAAGAGATTTAAAAATGCAGATGAAATGCACTCTCAGTAAACTATAAATTGATTTATTGAATAGACTACTTCATGGGCTCGGGAAGAATTAGGGCACACATGTAACCCGAGTCAAACTTTATGCTTTATCCTTTTTTTTTATTTTCTTCATATTCCTCAACTGTTTAACTATAGAATGCCACACAAAGTTGTTTTCTTTTAACAATTGATATACATTCTAGCTATACTTGAATTAATTTTCTTTTAGGTGATCGCTGGTACACTTTAAAAATGGCATTTAAATACCAGTGTACAATTACATGCCAAATGTGTATATTTGTTCCTGTCAAATTATGAAGTGGAAGTGTAGATATAATGAAATTATATACATTACGGTGTGGTCCTATAGGGATAGGTATATGCTCTTTTTGCACCCGCAGTTACAATGGCCATGCAGGTAGAAATATATTTTCTTCAAAATGTTACGAAAGGGTTTTTGCTTGGGAACTTTGAATTCTTTTGGGAGTTTCCTGTATGTCAAACAATAAAAAGTGCTCATCGTCGGGAAAGGAAATAGAGGAATATCCTGTACGAAACCCGAGATGCAATCATTTCCATATCTACCTAGACTTTCACCGTCTCGCTAGAGCTTCCTAATCCATTGACTACTCATCTTACATCTCTCTTCCTCGTGGTAAGAAATAATGCATATGAATTTTCGTTTGGGGGAATAAGCAAGGGAATATAGACTTAAATTTTCTCTAAATAAAAAAGAAAAAGGGTATGATATTGCACCTGATACGTTTAGCTATGTAATCTCTTGTCTTCTTTGAACCCGTTTTTTGTGCCCCAAATTGTAAAAATGCACTTTCAACTGTATAATTTTGGCATCTATTGCTTGTTTCATTGGTAAACTTATTACTAAATCCATCCCATTGGAATAAACTTTACAGTGAACTTGGTGAAGGAATCTGATTTTGATCTTACGCTACAAGCATAACCATTTTTAGTCTTGATATAATGTTATTGATGGGAATCATGGGATTATTGTCTTTTGATGTGAATTTTTTTGAAGATTTGAGGGCTTGCAATTCCCTGATAGGGGCTTTGAATGTAGGATTTTGACGATACATTACCATAAGTAGATGGAGCTTAAGTGATCAAGTTCCTTTAGTGTATTCCCATGTCTGCAGAATGTTTGAGCTCTTGGTTTCATAGACATATAACTTGGAAGTATGTGAGTGTTATACAAGAAATAAATAAGGATCCTTAACAAGAAAACAAAATGCAGGATCAGTGTCAGAAACCAAATATTCAGGAAAAGCATTGAATTATTCAGTGATAATAATCTATAGGTTACTGACTCTTGGCCTAGGAAAAACATAATCCCATTCTTGACAAGATAAGATCTGTTGACGAATAATCAATTTCGCGCCGTCTTCAGAATTAAAAAAAGTTAATGTTACATCGATGGCTGTCGGAAAAGTTCAGACACAAGACTTCCAACTCTTGTGTAATGAAGACATTAGACCCTTTCACACAAAACAAAGTTGTGTGAAGAAAGGAACGCTTACACTTCCGTAGATCAAACATGACGATGCAGAGAGACAGAAGTGCATTAACTCAAATGGATGATACAGAGTTGAT